AAAAAATTTTGTAAAAAGAAAAAACAATAATTTATTTTATTTTATAGGAGCAACTAATTTTTTACAGATATCTTAATAATTTTTAGATTTATATATCTTACTTATATTTCTATTGTTTTTAAATTAAAACAAATATTAAAACTTTACTTACCAATCTTTTGATTTACATACAAATATTTTACATTATATAGAAAGTTTTATATACGGTCTCTCGTTTTTGCGCAGTATTATATATTCTGACTCTTACTTATTTTTATTTAAACAATGGGAACTATTTTCTAACTTCTCTAGTTATTTTTACGCTGTAACAATTTTTTGTTTTCCTGTTGAGAAAAAAAGTATTTATTAACAATTAATTTCATAAAATGACAGTATTAATTAGAGATATTTGATGAATTGTTAACTTTTTTTATAAAAATTTTTTGATTATGCTGATTTAATTTAAATTGCTAAATTTCAATTAAATCAGCAATTTCTTTTTTATCCGTATCCTGAATTGGATACGGATAAAAAAGAAATATCATTTTAATTTACATTTGATTTTTGATAATGCAATTTTTAAAATGTCAGCAATTAGAACCTGTAATACCAATTAGAACCTGTTGAAGTTATGAAAACAAAGTATAAGAATACACTAAACATTGTCAAGAGTGCAAAGACATTTTACCAATAATTGCTAACCTAAATAACTTTTTATATTCATAAAGACTTAGAATTCTTGGTTTGGAACTACTAGAAATTCGTCGCCTTAAGCAAATTAACCTAAATAAATCAAGTTTCTTTTTATTTAACAACTATATTTACATTCGAGGACATAATTTCAAATTACGCAAACTAAAATGTAAACGCAATGGCCGTAAATACTCTTTCTCACTCAGTAGAGAAAGGGTATTTATTCATTTTTATTCATACATTCTGTTTCTCGACCCTTTGTAGGATATGTCGAGAAACAGAATGTATGAACTACAAGGTCAAATATAACAAAGAGCTTTTTAAAAAAAAAAATCATGTTTTTGCCTGATTTATCTTTATTATCGAATATTTACATTTCCGCAAGATCTCAGTTGTATACTGTTGAACTTATTTCCTGTAAAGCCTTACAGGAAAGAAATGCATGGCGTAAGAAAGGAAAACAAAGCAATGCAAAATTACGACGATGAAGACAGAAACATGTTTAAATAGTTATCTGATTTTTAAATCCAGAAATTCATTATAAAAGCAAAATGGCTTGCTTTTTTTTTGCTTAGTTTTTATTTATTAAATGTGATAAATGATGCTTTGTACTGAAATTGTCGTCAAAAATAGGCAGTTTAGCGTTTTATATATAGCATATAGTTGTTAAATAACTAGTCATGCTTTCATTTTAAAACCTTGGGTCATTTAAAAGGTTCTTCAGCATAACAAATGTTTGAAAATGGTATATCATAAGTTTATATTTTAATACATTTTTTTAATTTTTTTGCGCATCTCGTTTTGCTTACCTATATTTCTAGTTAAAAGAATATATATTATTTTTGGTGACTTTTTATTAGATTTTCATTCAATTTTATAACAGATATTAACTTGAACAATAAATTAACAGATGCATTTTTTAATTTGTTTTCTCTTTTTTAGAAATGGTGATCTCTGCTACTTTGACTTAATACTGCTAGAAATGATTTTGATAGTTAAACCTCAAAATTTGATGTTTAACTTTTGAATCATAAACTAAATCATAAATCATAAAGATTTTTTGGATTCTATAACAAAGTTAATCAATGAAACTTAATGTTGTAAGTTTTTATATTCTTAACTTTTCTTAATTCCTTTTTCATATTCATAGTCTTAACTTTTTTACTTTAATAAATCTTTTATTGTGATAAACAAATATTTATCTATACTTTGGGTTGTTTATTTAATCTTCTACCAACAATTATTTTAATTAAATAGTTATTTAAATTTTTTTTTCTTCTTATAAATCATTTGTTATAATTGTTCTTATAATAGTTTTATGTGTAACTTCGCATTGATTAATATTTGTTCCTCGCTATTATTGAAACATTACATAAATTGGTAATTAAATATAAATTTAGGTTTTACAAATAAAAATGCTACAAAAACAGTTTTCCCCATTTAAATATAAAATTATAATTTAGAAAATATTTTTCGAAAAGTTGTAGATATTTAGACAACATGGCATTATTGTCAAGGGAATTGCAAGGCTAGGTGGCTCTATAAAAATATTATTGACACTTTTATGATAGGAGTCTTTGCCCAGCAAAGTGATGTTATAATGTTGTGTTTTTAACATTACTTTTGGAAAGTCATATTTAGGTGACATTTAGGTCTCTATGAAATGACCAAATGATTATAATTGTTCAAATGATTTATGATCTTATTTTTCATATACCATTGAAACAAATAAATTGTCATCGAAGTCATTTTTTGAAGACAATCAGTTCAGCATTAATTATTTCTAAAAGATTTTAATTTTCTTACATGAAATAACAATATTTCACAACTAATGCATTATCAAAACACATTAACTATATTAGGTACATTATTTTTATGTTTACATTATTTTTATGTTTCAGATTTATCATATGATATATTTATAGGATATAGAAGAATGCAATAATGTTAATTTTGCAATAAACTCTTTAATTCAAAAGTATTTGAATTTAGATTTATTTTTTTTAATAAATAAAAAATGCCTAGGGTTATATTGGGGCTAAGTGTCAAAATTAGTGGCCCTAATTGTTTATAAATAAATGTCATGTAATTCAAACAAAATATTTAACTACAAAAAAAAAAAAAAAAAATATTTACAATATTAATGTTAATACTGTACATAATCCAACAAAAAGTGAACAATTCTTGCTCTAGAGCAGTATTATAGCAGTAAGGATAAATTCTATGTCAGTAAGAATAAATTAAACTCTTACATCAAAAATAAGTAAAGAACTCTTTACACGTTTAAGGCTACTCCATGTATGTTCAAATTTAGAATAAACTCTCCCCATTGTTCAGCAATCTGTCTTTACATCTTAGTTTCCTCAGCTGATTACCTATAGTTATTTATATAAAAGCCATTAAAATATTAGGAAACTTGTTTTAAGCAAACTTTTCTAAATGAGTACAAGTTTTTATTTATAAAAAACTCCCTCCTATCTAGCCAATTTTGCCATCATCCAAGTTTGCTGAACAGTTTATAGTAAGTTTTCCAAACAATATGGCAGTTAATTCTAGATTAAAACCTACACAGTGCAAATTTAAAAATACTCAATATGTAGAACGGCATAGTCAATACGTAGATCAACTCTGCAAATTGTTTTAATGAAAGAGTTTAATTGGACATAATTATTATTTTAGCATATTTAAATTAATGATGTAAATTGAATATGTTTAAATATGCTTTGCTCCAATTGTAACCCCTGGCATTTTTTCTTTAACTTTAAAAATACAATTTTATAAAATAAATACCCTTGAATAGTATTTTGCCCTATTTAAAACTCTTAGTAATTTATTCAGATTATAAAATTCTTCTATTGTTATAATACAAATACTGTGACATAAAACAAGACATAAATTATCTGAATGACTTGTGTCATCTGAGTGACACATATCACAACAAAAAACTTAATAAAAACAAAATAATAGGACAAAATAATTATAATTAATCATAACAACTGGTTTTTTAATGTTAGCAGTAAACAAAAATAATTTTACCTTAATTTTGAAGACTTCTTGTTTCTGCCTAACTGATGACTTATGATTAATAAATAAAATTTCAAACCATGAAACTTTACTAAATTAAAATCATGTTTCAATAGTAGGCTAACTAATAAAATAATAACGAAGTCATAGCTAAAAAAAGAAAAAAGAACATTAGAATTGAAAAATTCAAACAGCTATTCCATTTTCACGAATATCGTTAACATACTGCTAACAAGTATATTATTATATACATTTAATTGGTTGTATATAGTCAATTTCTAAACCTTACGCTTTCGGTCTTTTGGTCTTATCAACATGTCATGGTTGATCCCTTAAAAATGTAAAGACTTGCTAGTACAGATTTAAAATTTTTCTAAAATAAAGGAAACCATAATCATGTATTAGGAACACTTTTCACTGACATATTGGTCTTTAAAATGTCATCAGTGATCTTTGAGCTGCATCACAGTCAGTGAGTAGATTTTATTGTTTTTTCAATTGTCAAATTTATTGTTGCTTTCATTAAAGCAAAATTATCAAAAAAATGTTTTTTGAAAAAACGTCTGCTCACTCTAAACTGACATCTTGTCACTTCTAAACTGTCGAACCATTACAAATAAAATATAAAACCATTTTCTAATAAACAAATTGTTGCTTTTATAAAACAAAAATAATGTAATATCATTTGTTAATTTTATTTTTGTTTACTCTAAACTGTCATTTTGTCATTTCTGAACTGAACTGTCAAATCTAACTCAACTGTCATGTAACCAAAAAATTAAATATAAAAAAATTTTCTAACAAACAAGTTGATCATTCTAAACTGTCATGTTGTCACTTCTAAACTGTCATTTAAGCAAACTGTCATTTAACCAAAAAGCAAAATTTAAAACTATGTTCAAATTAACAAATAACAAAACAAATTTCTCTAAAATAACTTCAAAACAAACAAAATATAAATGAAAAATTTATAATGAATTGAATGATAAAGCAAATTTAAAGTATAGAATAGCAAATAAAGGTAAAAAGTATTTTATCTCAGTAGAATCAAATCATAGACGATTGTGTAGTTATTTTTAAAGCAAAATTAATTAAGCTTTATATCAAAAAACAAACAAATGAACATTCAAAAGAAACTATTATATATATGGATAAGTAAATTTAATCAAAAAATATATATATATATATTTATATAAATATATATATATATATATATATATATATATATATATATATATATATATATATATATATATATATATATATATATATATATATACATATATACATAAATATATATTATATTATATACTTAAGCATTTTGAATTACAGTTATTACAAAACCAAAATCTAGATTTTGGGGACTTTTTCAGGCTAGCACATTGAAAGTGGTAGCAATTCAGACATGAGTCACAACTAATACATTCTTCTTCAACTCTTTCTTTACAAACTGTGCATGTCCAGTTAGGTGCAAGCTTCACCTTATCAATAACTTGATTAACCAGCATCCATGCTTCCTTTGTAAAGAATGCTTGTATACTCCCAACATTAATAGCATCATCTATTATGCTGGGGTGTACTTTTTCTGGGCATACCTCTACACTATTTTTATCCATCAAAGAACCCTCCATAGCTTTTTTAACATCCTCTTTAGACAATAACCAACAAAGCATAACTGAAATTAAAATTAAAAAAATTATATAAAAATATTAAATATTGAAAAATATGAAAATTACATTATTTGAAAGATTTACTTTCAAATTTTTCATTAGGTTGTTTTTGGATAAAAGGAACTGGTTTTCCATTAGAAGCCTGTCTATACTTTTTTTTCTTGGCAGGCATTCCAATTACTGTGAGCTCTGCTCCTTTAGGACGCCCTCTCTTTGCAGTAAAAGGAGGAAATTTTATCATCGAAATATCTAAAATAAATACAATTACATTGAAATAAATTTAATCTAAAAAAAAATTTTTTTTATTATATTTTTTTTTTTGCAATAGTTTTCAAATAAAATGCACAGATTCACCATGACTGCAACTACCTGGCAAAAAATCTACATTGTTTTTATTTTTACTGGTGCTCTCCCCTTGAATGTGTCCTTCTATCTCATCATTGTTATGCTCTACAATATTAACTTTATCTTCATTGACTATATCTTCTATATAATAGAAATTAATAAAATCAACTGTTAAAAAAAAATTTAAAAGAAAATATGCTCCCAAAAATAATTCATAAATAAAGAATATAAAAATTGATTAGTCAAGTAAAAGATTTAAAGTCTATCTGATTTTTTCAACTGTTTTCAAGTCAGAAATATACTGTTTATATAGTAAATATAACTGTTTCAAAAGAAATATATTGCACAGATTCAATACTGTGACTACCTGGTTCTTCATTATGCAATAAATCCTTATTGCTTTGCATCTTACTGACATGCTTTTCTACTTGAATGTCTACTTCGTCATCATCAATGTTGTGATTTATACCATCAACTTTATCTCCATTGGCTATATCTTCTATAAAAAGCAATAACTAAAATCTATCATGTTAAAAATCTTTTCAAAGTAATATGCACCTAAAAATAATTTATAAATCAAGAATATATAACTGAATTGAAATAGCGCCTATCTGTTATTTTTTATCAACAGTTTTTAAGTTAAATAAAACATAATGCACAGATTCACCACGACTATCTGTTATTTTTTTTCAACAGTTTTTAAGTTATATAAAACATAATCCACAGATTCACCACGACTATCTACCTGGTTCTACAGTAAATGATAAATCGTTATTATTCATGTTACTGATAGCTACTTCTATGTCATCATTGCTGTGCTCTAGATTTTCAACATGGACTTCATCTACTTTAAAAATAAATGCAGTGATTTAATAATATATAAATATAAAGTATATATATAAAATAAATATAAAAACAAATATCAGGTCTCTATATATATATATATATATATATATATATATATATATATATATATATATATATATATATATATATATATATATATATACATACACAGTTTATAAATAAAGTGTATATTTACATATAAAAATTTATATGTTTTCATATAACTAATTAATATTAAAGTATAAACTACAATTATATTTAAAAATAGATTACGATATTTAACTATTTATATTTAACTACACTAACCATTTCTTTTTTGTATGCCAATATCAATACCTTTTTTCCAAAAATCTAAAACATTTGCAAGTAAGTCATATCTATTCTCATATTCCCTCATAGGAGACTCTGATACAATGGAGGCCAATTTATGACACAGTTGTAAAGTTTTTTTGTATTTTTCATTTTGTGATAAAATTGCAGTTGTTTTTGCTTTTTCATTACTGGTAACTACACCATACTGACCAGGATTACCCGGCGCCAGAGATTTTGCAACATGATGCTTTGATTTGTAGTAGTCTAATGACCATCTTGGTGAACACAGTGTTCTGTTAAATAAATCAACTTCTTCCACTTTTCTAACTGCAAAAATATGTCTACATGGCAATAGCATTGCAGACCTGAACCCACAATCACAAGACAGAACAGTCACTTTTAATTTAGCATATGTTGTTGTAACTTCATATTGGTTTTGAGGAAGCTTTTTTAATGACCTTACTTCTGATGCTAATTCTAATTCCTTTAAAACAAAACTAAATGCATAAGGTGTTAGCAATTT